CAGAGGTTTCCAACTCTGTATCCTTCACCCATGCAAGCAAGAGGCATTCCAGACTAGCAAAAGCTCTCAAAGAGGGTGAAGACGAGGACTGGATAGAGCAGGCACAGGCAAACTCGACCCTCCAGATGTTTTGGGACTACAACTCCCATCATCCCTAGCTAACAGGACCAGTGGCCAGGGATGATGGGAACTGTAGTCCCAAAACATCTGGAGGGCCAAGTTTGCCTATGCCTGAGATAGAGGGATGTGACCTGGGGATAAAGGGTCTGGCTATAGGCCTGTGGGTCTCAACCCCAACCCCAGTGTTTCTGCAGAAAATGCTAGCCTCTAGTGCAGTAAAATTCTCTGTCTCTAGTGCAGAGAAACTATTCCACAACTTTCAAAATGGAGCAAAGAGCCCTGAACCCAAGGGCGAATTTTATTTGTCTCTCTCCCAAATTGCGGAGAGTAGAGGTGAATGAGAAGGGAGACCTCTTCACACCCACCCACACACCCCAAAATGCCCAAAAACCTAATTACTTCTTTTTCCTCCTCAATAAATGAGGACTGTTCCCTTCAGCACTGCCATGTGACTTTGTGACGTTCTTATTCTCTCCACCTTTCAACAAGTAATGGTGGCGTCTAATGCTGTGTAGGCTTCACTCACTATGCAGGAATTGTCCCTACTTGACATTATTGTTACAATCAGGAGGCATCAATTGACCAAGTGATGGACACTAGGCTGCCAAATAACTCCAGTGCAAGGTTATCTTATTTTGAATCTAATTCAGCATGTTTTCATGTGGTCATAAATACACACGCCTTGCAGATATGTAATCGAATTATGAGAGTTACCATAGCAACTGCTGCAATTAATTAAAAGACTTGGACAGGGTATGCTTATAGATGCAAAAAAATGTTTTCATGTATAAATAGTGCAATCTGTTTATGCTCAAAGGATTTTTCTCCTCCTCCTACCACCACAATATTATTCTGTGCCGAGAAACTGGGCGATTCCACTCCCCCTTTAGTGTTGATAAATCATTGTGAGTCTCACCAAATATTTCATTGTGCATAACATCTGATAAAGGCTGATGGATAAATATGGAGTGGGGGAGGACTACATATAGCTTTAGGTGACACAACTGAATTGTGGGGCTGTTTCTCATTGTTTGCAATGGAGCCAAAATGCTGCTTTTAAAAAACAGACAAGCTTCTTAACATTACTGTACAGTGGTACCTCGGGTTACATACGCTTCATGTTACATATGCTTCAGGTTACATACTCTGCTAACCCAGAAATAGTGCTTCAGGTTAAGAACTTTGCTTCAGGATGAGAACAGAAATTGTGCTCCGGTGGTGCGGCAGCAGCAGGAGGCCCCATTAGCTAAAGTGGTGCTTCAGGTTAAGAACAGTTTCAGGTTAAGTAAGGACCTCCGTAACAAATCAAGTACTTAACCTGAGGTACCACTGTAGAGATCCTCTCAGTAGCCACCAGCTTGACTGATTCTAGGTCTAGGGCAGTCTGTGAAAATATGGTGAGCAACCATAGTTTAAACTATTACAGTTGCACTGAGCAGCTGAAGCACCTAGGTGAAAATATTTGCAGTCTTGAGAAAAAGCTCACTGTCTAAAGAGATCAAGAAACAACAGGGTAAAGAAACCTTATCTAGCCTGTTATTATGGACTACATCTCCCATCATCCCTCACCATTGGCCATGCTGGCTTCAGCTGATGGGACTTGTAGTCCTAAACCAGGGGTCTGCAACCCGCGGCTCCGGAGCTGCATGTGGCTCTTTTACACCTTTGCCGCGGCTCCGGGGCGGATACTAGCGAGGGGAGGAGGCGCATTGTGCGCCCCGACACTCCCCACTGTGGCAGGCGCTGTACTGGCTGTGACGTCGCATGGGGGCAGTGCGTGCGTTAGTCACGCACCGTCCCGACGTCACCTTCCCACCCGCTGTCAGATCGCGGCTCCGGAGATATATTTGTTTTAAATGTCGCAATGGTTTTGCGGCTCCCAGTTGTTGTTTTTCTTTGGAAACGGGTCCAAGTGGCTCTTTTTGTCTTAAAGGTTGCAGACCCCTGTCCTAAACATATGAATTGGCTCAGGTTGAGAGGAACTAGGGTAGAAATATAGCTTGTAAAGTCTATATTAGTCTATGTTTCTGTCTTAGGGTGGGTGAAGGAGGTTCTCTAGAACTCTAGGAGGGGTCAACATAAGAGAAGCGCTGCTACATCAAACCAAAGGCTCATCTGTGCAAATATATTGTTTTCACAGTGGCTTCCCAGCAGAACATGTAGCCCTCTGACTCCAACGCCCATCAGCACAGCCAATGGGCAAAGATTGTGGAACATTTGGAGGGCCACAAAGTTCTGCACCTCTGCTCAAGGGGATATGGTTTTGTTTAGGGGAAGGGCCTTAGCTCAATGGTAGAACATCTGTTTTGCATGCACAAGACCCTCAGTTAATCTCTGGAATCTCCAGGGAGGGCTGGGAGAGAACCCTGTCTGAAATCCTGGAAAATGGCTGCATAGACAATCCTTTGCTAGCTGGACTAGTGGACTAGACAGCTCTTTGCATTCCTATGCTCTCCCCCCCCCCCCATTCAGGAGCTTTACTGGGCTTCCTATCAATTTGCAGAGGCTTTACCAAAAAGCAACAACCCATGGCTGTTTTTTCTCCTTCTCCCCATCTTCCTTTGTTCTGTTTGTGCAGCATTTGGTGCCTAGGACTAGAACGAAAGATAGCTAAAAAGGTCTCCCTGTTCCCTACATCCTCCACGTGACTGGCTGTCACTGATGGGGAAAATGAATGAGTTAAATAAAACAGATGAGTAATGAATTAAAATTTGACCTTTGGGGATTCATTTGTTATTCTTCCATATGTTTCATAATGGGCCCCATTATTACTTCTTCAGCTCCCCCACACCTGACCTTAGCTTAAAATAACAACATGCTTTAGACTTTACTGTGGATGGGGTGGGGGGTATTCCTTTCCCCTTTACAAGAAAATCTTCCTAATTCATGCTTTCTGAAACAGTACGTGAAGCAAAACACAGCCATAAGTCTCTGAATTTTGCAATGCAGTTCTGCATCCAAGTAACACGTACAGAAATGCATATATTTGGGCAAAATTTCATAAAAAGGTGTGTGTTTGTGAAGATAAGATGCAAAACTGTGTTATATTAGAGGAAATGCAAACAAGCAAGCCTACGAGGAAGAATTTACCCTAAAATGCTGATGAGGACTTTTTAACAAATGTGAAAATGTGGTGAACTTAATATAAGCTTTGACATTCCTAAGACTTCCCTTGTAAGGAGAATTTAATCCCTTGGTCATTTGTGCTGCTTTTGCTGATGCCCTTTCTCAAACTCCATGGTAAAAGGTAAAGGTAAAAGGACCCCTGACCACTAGGTCCAGTCGTGGCCGACTCTGGGGTTGCGGCGCTCATCTCGCTTTATTGGCCGAGGGAGCCACCGTATAGCTTCTGGGTCATGTGGCCAGCATGACTAAACCACTTCTGGTGAACCAGAGCAGCGCACGGAAACGCCGTTTACCTTCCCTCCGGAGCGGTACCTATTTATCTACTTGCACTTTGACATACTTTCGAACTGCTAGGTTGGCAGGAGCAGGGACCGAGCAACGGGAGCTCACCCCATCATTGGGATTTGAACTGCTGACCTTCTGATCAGCAAGTCCTAGGCTCTGTGGTTTAACCCACAGCACCACCTGCATCCCAAACTCCATGGTATCCCTTTCCTAAAATAAGGAATCGCTGATATAAACTGAACTGTATTATGGAACATACTGGGAGAGTAGCCCTTCTCCCGCAGCTTGGCAATGGTCACAGAGGGGACTTTGGGGGCCTGAAACCATTACTGGTATCACTGACTTCTCATTGAGCATTCAGTTCTCATTTTATAAAAGAGGACACCTTTAGCCCATTTACTGATGATATATGAAAAAGCACAGAGGCTGTATTTTGCCCAACTGTTTTCTATCAATTCAACTTTCTCCCACCTCTCCTTTTACTCCCAAATTGAATGACAACTTTTCTTTTAAGCAATCATTCTTTATGGATATTTATGGATATTTTAAATTGTTTTTAATGGATTATTTTTGTTGATTTTAGCCTTACATGCTGTCATCCAGCTTGCACTATCTATCATCTATCTATCTATCTATCTATCTATCTATCTATCTATCTATCATCTATCTATCATCTATCTATCATCTATCATCTATCATCTATCTATCTATCTATCTATCATCTATCTATCATCTATCTATCTATCATCTATCTATCTATCTATCATCTATCTATCTCTATCTATCTATCTATCTATCTATCTATCTATCTATCTATCTATCATCTATCTATCATCTATCATCTATCTATCATCTATCATCTATCATCTATCATCTATCATCTACCATCTATCTATATCTATCTATCTATCATCTATCTATCTATCTATCTATCTATCTATCATCTATCTAATCTATCCATCTACCTATCATCTATGCAGATTAAAAATTTACAGACAAATAAAGGAATAAAGTACTAATAAGGAACATTTATAGGAGAGGAGAAGTCAGATAGCAGATGAATCAAATGCACTGATGAAGTCAGTTTTCTCTCTCTGCTGCAGCCAGCTGGAATGGATGCTAATAGATGTACTATATGTCGGGAGACTGCATGGAAAAGTCTTCAGATTCCAAAATCTTGGGATGGGCATATCTGACCATTTCATTTTCTGTTTGTTCTCATTTTCCCACATTTCTTTTTATTTCAGTTATATTTTTTTATACAATCCTTATGAAAATGAACCAGCATTTTCTTGCAGAGTTCTCCAAATAGCCAAATTGCTTTATGTTAATTAGCTGGATGTACAGATAGTTGCAAAGCAAATCCCCATAATGCAATGCATTTTTGTCTGCTATTATCAGTAATATCTGCATTTCAAAGTACACTTTACCCCCATATATGCATTTTTCTACATGTCTTGGAGGGGGGGATGCGTTCCAAAAATTGGGTAAGTGCAAATTTTGAAGGATGGCTGTGTTCATGGATCATTTCAGAAAGTGACGATTATGAACTTTTGCCTTTAAATGCACACCTAATCATTTTTCTCTTGTATTCCTATCTGCATGAAAGAAAGAATTCAGCAGGATCAGCTTGCCTCCGTGACATATGATGGGTAATGCTGGATATATAAAGCTTTGAATAATCCAGGTGTTGTTCAGAGCTACTTGAGGAGAGCAGAAATTTAAAGGTCAAGGCCAAGTAGTTTTCATCTTCATTGCAACAGCTAATCCAAGTGGAGCTTCCCCCATATGGATAGAAAAGATGTTAAAATGCTTGCGTATAAATAAAATAAAATCATAGTGATGATGGGATAAGTGGATTAACTGTGATAAACAAAAATATAGAACCACGATCCATGCAAATCTGTGGTTTAACTTCAAACTCATTACAGCACAATCATATTGTACTCCAAAATGCTCAGGAAGATGAGATGCATCACATACAAAAGTCCCCCAGGAAAATTCTCAATGCCCTCTTTTAAGTTTCTTGTGATTTTTTATTATGGGCTTCTGTATACAACTCAATATATCCAGCAATATCTGAAAGGGCAGAACTCTAGCATCAAATATTCATTTAGATAGATAGATAGATAGATAGATAGATAGATAGATGATAGATAGATAGATGATATATAGATAGATAGATGATAGATAGATAGATGATAGATAGATAGATAGATAGATAGATAGATAGATAGATAGATAGATAGATAGATAGATAGATAGATAGATAGATTAGATAGATAGATAGATAGATAGATAGGTAGATAGATAGATAGATAGATAGATAGATGGATATAGATAGATAGATGATAGATAGATGATAGATAGATAGATAGATAGATAGATAGATAGATAGATAGATAGATAGATGATAGATAGATAGATAGATAGATAGATGATAGATAGATAGATAGATGATAGATATAGATAGATGATAGATAGATATTCTCTCTCTCTCTCTCTCTCTCTCTCTCTCTCTCTCTCACACACACACATGCAATTCTCAGATGTACTGTAACCAAATTAGTTTCTATCTTTTAAATGAAAAAAATAGTTAAGTAATATGTATATATTTATCTAAAATGCTTTTGGATTCTACACTTTTTAGAAAAACTTCCCAAATATGCTTTTATGCACATTTTTGATGTATATAGCATTATCCTAGCTATGGTATTTCCCAGGGGGGAAAATGAAATGCAATTTTCCCACACACATGTTCTCTGTTGAATGGTTATACAAAGGATTTCACATATGCTTGCTGTTACCCCTTTCTGTTCAGGTAAATATATCATGGACTCATTTGGAACAACTATTTTGCATATTTGTACAGCAATGTTTAATAATTTCTATACATTGCAAAATTAAGATTATCATTTATTTCAAACATTTAAAACATGCATGTATTTTATTCAGTTTCTTACCTGTCCTTTGCCACACGGTCCCAGAGTGTGTTGCAACAATGAAATATACAATTATAAAGCAAATGAAGCAATTAAACACTATATACAAAACAATTTTTAGAAACTCCCAATTTATAATGAAAGACAATTCCACATACAAAACCAGTTAAAATTCATTTAAGTGCGGAAGCAGAACAAGTTTCGTTATGCCAGTAGTGATGTAAAGTATGTTAAGTTTTAAAATAATAAATGGTTGCAAACACAGAAAATGTGTAATTAATCATAAACATTGTGATCATGATCAAGCCAAAGCCAAGAATTTTGAAGCAGATTTCAAATAGGATAACTGAACAAGTGTGAGCCCTCCTAAACATTTTTTCATAGAGATTAGGACTTCAGAGGTTTGTGTGTTTGCACAGATGGTGCTCCAGCTATGCTAGGATGTGGATCTGGATTTCAGTGTTTGGACTGAATGAGTCACCAAAAGTCATTGGAACTCACTGTATGAATCATTGGCAAATATTAGCAACGAAGACGCTGCCACAAGAGTTACAAGAAGTAATGAAAAGCGTCGTAAGTTCTGTCAATTTTGTAAAGGTGAGCACTTTAAACAGCCGACTGTTTCCGCAACTGTGCAACGAGTTGGATGCACCGCACAATGCTCTGCTATTTCACACTGAAGTGAGATGGTTGTCGAGAGGAAAAGTTTTAAAATGTGTTTTTGAGCTTCGTGATGAACTCAAAACGTTTTTTAATCAGAAAGCAAGACCGCAGCTTGAAGCACTTTTCAGCGATAAAAGTGAACTGCAGAAAATAGCTTACTTGGTTGACATCTTTGCCATCTTGAATGAGTTAAGTTTATCACTGCAAGGACCAAATGCAACATGCCTCGATTTGTCTGAAAATATCCGATCATTCCAAATGAAACTTCAGCTTTGGCGAAAAAAATTGGATGAAAATAAAATTTACATGTTGCCTACCATATCTGCTTTCTTTGAGGAACATGACATTGAACCAGACAAAAGGATTACGGTGATAATTTCTGTGGAAGAACACTTACACATGCTTGCAGACGAAATTTCATCGTACTTTCCAAATCTACCTGACACCCCATTTGCATTTGCCAGAAGCCCATTCACAGTCAAAGTTGAAGGTGTTCCTGAGACAGTACAAGAGGAGTTCATTGAACTTATTAACAGTGATGCCGTGAGAACTGATTTCTCTACAATGCCAGTGTTTGCAGTCATATCCTGTTCTGTCTAAGACTGTGCTGCGCCTTCTTCTTCCATTTCCAAAAACATATCTTTGTGAAACAGGGTTTTCCAGCTTGTTGGTTATCAAGTCTAAATACAGAAGTAGACTTGTTGTGGAAGATGATCTTCGTTGTGCTCTTGCAAAGACTACCCCGAGAATTTCTGATCTGGTGAGAAAGAAGCAATCTCAGCCTTTGCACTGACGTTGGCTTTTTATGCATACCGTCGAAAAATGTAGCAATGTAGTTTACTGTTTTTATATTAAGACTGTTACCCATGCTACGCCATGCTTCAAGACAAAATATCATTTATTTGTAATTAGAAATAAATATTTCACAATATATCATTACATATTGTTTTTGTGATTAATCACTATGCTTTAATTGTGTTCAATTTGTAACAATGAAAATACATCCTGCATATCAGATATTTACATTACGATTCATAACAGTAGCAAAATTACAGTTATGAAGTAGCAACGAAAACAATTTTGCCACAACATGAGGAACTGTATTAAAGGGTCAAGGCATTAGGAAGGTTGAGAACCACTGATCTAGAGATTTTGCCACAGAAGCGGAAGATCTTTTGTCTGCAAAAAGATGCTCTGTAACAGCACTGAGAAATCTCCATTTCACAGGTCTCTTTTGGCTTAGCATAGGTCTCATTTTGTCCTTTGAGTTGATTCCACGCAAAACACACCAATCTCTTTTTTCCATCATCACTGGTGACCTTGGGTGCAGGGCAGGGCCAGAGGTTGGCAAATGCAACCCCTCTGAAAGGAGTGAACAAACAATGTTCCAGCAGAGCCAAGAGTGGAATTCCATGAGGGAAGAAGCTACAGAGGAAGGCAGTTGTGTGAATTTGGTTCAACGAAACTTCAGTCCTTCACAACTAGGAATATGTCTGTCATTAATTGATTGGTCAGCAGAGCAGCTGTTTTTAACTGCGCCTTGTAGTATCATGACCTTACAGTGCAAATAATGTGCATAATAATATAGAAACAAAAAATATAATATAATTGTATTGCCCCCTGGGAATTGTAGTTCAATTTAAGCAGGGAGGAGAATAATGTTTGCTCTGCAAACGTTAAAATTCACACCTCCTGGACCGATACACACATTGGAAAGCAATTATGCTTAGGATTTTGCACTTCTCTGAATTTTGTGATACAGTTCTCATCTAATACAAAAAACAACAAAAAACCCACACGTTTTATAACAGATGCTTTAAAAAGTTTGCATTGAGAAAATATGTTTGTTAAGTGCCTAATTTGTGATAAAATATGCATTTAAGTATTTAAATATGATGCTTTATACATTTTTTTAAAAAAATCAGAGATTAATGCAGAAATTGATTTGTGAATGAGCCCATGTAAAAGTGACAGAGATGGAAAATAGATTAAGGCAGTCATATTACTAGCAGTGATATAGATGAGCCTGGAGTTTAACCCACCCTCCTCATCATGCACGTTTAGGAACAAGACAGGATGTGTGATCTACATATTGGACAAACACAATGCAAGATTTCAACCCTCTTAGCATCCTTCAGGTGCATTTATGCTTCAAATGCAAACCCATTTTAAACCAGTTAAACTGTCACTGTTATCCCCAAGGAAGCCTGAGAAATTGTGGGATAGACATGTGTCAGAGCTGCCTCTGGTCCCAGCTCACAGAGGACCAACGCCAGTCCGTTGTTATATAAAATAGTCTTTATTGAAGTTCAGTTTCTCTTTTACAGCCGCGGCGCGCAGCTCTACGTCTTAAACCCTAGACCGCCGAAGCTCCGTCTGAGTCTCCTCCCCCCAGACACCAGTTTAAGACCCTAGCCTTGCTCCACCTCTTCCTCTGCTCCCTTCTCCTCTGGGTCCGCTTGTCCGCCGAGGCTCTGCCCTTCCTAGACTCTTCTGACGCTGAGTCCCCTGAGTCTTCCCCCTCCCTCCGGCGAGCTTTAGGACCTGGTTCCCAATCCGGGCTTTCTGCTGTCCCGCACGCCTGTACATTTGAACTTGGCGCGCGCGCCCAGCCTGCCACCTTCCTTCTGACCGTTATACTGCTCCTGTCGCTGCTTCCCTCTTCGGGGATGCTAGCTGGGTCTGACTCCTCCCTGTTTGCCGGAGGAGACGCTGACTCTGACCTATGGGGCTCTTCCCCCCCACTACGCTCTGGCGGGGAAGCTGGTCCTGATTTCCAGCTACTGCTTTGGGAGTCTCCGCTGGCCCCCTGCTTCTGGTGTGTCCCCCCTGGGACCCCCCTTGCCCTGGCCATCGGCGCCCCCTTCTGGGAATCTTCTGATTCACTGGAGAGGCTTATGGAATCTCTCGGGTCACTGTCATTCTGCCCTCCGCTGCCCTCAGATTCTTCCCCTTCGCTCTCCATTTCCTCTCTCCCCTGCGCCTCTGCTCCTGAGCCCCTGACAACATGACCACAGCAGATTCTCTTTATGGTCACAAATGCTGTTCTGCAATTGTAAATTTGTATGTGGAAAATGGTGCACATAAAGACATGAGCAATCCTCCTTAGCTAAATAATGTCAGAAGATGAATGGACCCCAGTTAGGTGACACTTTGCCATATCTCTCTCTTTCATTTTCCTGTTCTGGTGGATGTCATTGCTTTGCAAGTGAACATACACAGAGCCTATAAAGTTTTGATGATGGAGTGAGATATCTTTTTTAAACACTGGGGCATTGCATGGTTCTGCGTGGCAGTAAAACCTTCTCCAGACCTGACAACTGTGGACTGACAGAGACAGTCTATCTCTATATAGCTCTAAAGCATTAAGTGCCACATTGGACAAGTACAATAGAGATGAAGAAGAAATAATTTTGAAATAGACAAGCATTCCTGGAGCAACCATTGTTTTGGATGTCAGTCAGAGCCAAGCTACATATTCAGTAACTGCGTTCTACACGTCTCCACAGATAGCATCATTTAGGATGGGCGAATCAGTCCAGTTCATGTTACTTCGGCATGCGCTCACCCATAAATCCATTGTTCCTGCATTCATATGAATTAAATATGCATTAAGATCTGCATAAAATGTGCATTCCAATACATATTTTGAAACAAAATTTCTCTGAAAATATTCATCTTTTTTTTGAAAATTTGGCAAAGAAAAGGAAGTGGGGAACATATTAAAGAAAGGAAATAAAATAAAGGAATGATATATTAAAATACTAATAGTAATCTCTCCCCATAAAACCCAATCCTGAATTCCTCAAGCAACCCTCATGCAGGGCTGGCACTTCCTTATTCCATGTACAGAAGCTGGACAGACTGGTAATTTATTTCTTACTTCAACACTGGTGACAGGACAGCATCCTCCACTGTACATGAGGATAGTTGGTGAGTTTAAGGGAGTGCATGGCAGCAGGTCGTGTGGGACACACAACTCTATCCTCCAAAATCTCACTTCCACCCCATAGCATCTGCCACCTGAGGCAGCCACCATACTCTGCCTAATGGTAGAGCTGTCCCTGCTTTGGTACCACTTGAGGATACAGTTTGGGGGGTTAAAGTGTAAGGTCAGTCACTGGAACAAAGCATAAAGCATTTCCACATGCATTTTTGGAAAATATCCATCTTGAGTTGCACATTTTGAACAGCAATTCTCACAGGCATGGGGGGGGTCACTATAATGTCCCCTGCCCCTTGAATTTGAGAATTGCTACTAGAAACATGTTCCCAAGGCAGCAGAGGATAAATCTCATTTCTAATACCTGGAGTTTCCACCTCTTTTTGGCTACCAGTGATTCTATCCCCGGATTGTGGTTGGTGTCAGTGGGCATGTATGGGGTGGGAATGGGAGGAAGACTCTGAGGTTGGAGGTGGGGAAAGTTTTGACATTGATGGGACCCCCCCCCCAATGCTATTGCTGGGTGTTCCTATAAGGAATATTAGCCAGCTCAGTCCATGCTCTGCCTCTTCAGAAAAAAGTTCAAAGGGTAGCTGAAGAGGTAGACTTGGTTCCATCACAAAGGACGTTCCACTGTCTGGACTGTGGTGAACAAACCTGAGTCCTTTCCCTTCCCAGCAGGAGTACTCAAACTTATCACTTGCCCAGAGATGTGGAAGAGTTGGCACAATATATTTGCTTGTGCCTAGAATTGTATCCTAGAAGTCTGCATGTGAACTGTTTAACCAGGTATCCTGCACTATGAGCTGGTGCTAAGACTACCTTTTCGCTCTATAAGATGCACCAGACCACAAGACGCACCTAGTTTTTGGAGGAGGAAAACAAGAAAAAAAATATTCTGAATCTCAGAAGCCAGAACAGCAAGAGGGATCGCTGCACAGTGAAAGCTGTGCAGCCTGCATTCACTCCATAAGACACACACACATTTCCCCTTACTTTTTAGAAGGGAAAAAGTGATTCTTATAGAGCAAAAAATACGGTATATGCTGATTTTATCAATAAAGCTGTCGAGATTCCCTGAGCTGAGAGTTGGAGTCTTTGTCCAAGAGTGGGAGCCAGGAGAGCTGGTAACCAGAACCTACCAAACTGACCATATCCATGTCTTCCAATATTTTGCAAATAAAATAAAATAGAAATGGAACAAGCACACGTATGCGCACACAAGCAATCCATGCCAAATTTCTATCAGGTATTTTTTTTTAATCATCTCACAGTCAGCTGCACTGGGAATTCCTAAATGGTGTGTAAAATGAACATCTGTCGATTGCCAGGATGGACACATCTGGACCAATTAATTTTTCATCATCTCCCAATATGGGAGATCAAATATTCACAATATGGTAACAAACTGGAGTCTTCCATTGGTTATGCTAAAGAGTTTCTGAAAAAGATATTTATTGAGAATTGAGACAGAAAGGAAAGGTCTTCACAGCTCTTTAACCTCAACTGCAGTATTTAATTTTATATGCTGAAGAGCCTAATACAATTTTCCATTAAGAGCAATTTACAGTTTCTTAAATAAATACTGAATTATTAGAGAGAAGCCTTACTTAAGCATATACAGTTATTCTTCTCCTTTTACCCCATATCTCTGTTTATAAATTTAAATTTATTGAGTTTAATAATAAATATAAGGTGAATATAAATATAGGGACGCAGGTGGTGCTGTGGTCTAAACCACAGAGCCTAGGGCTTGCCGATCAAAGGTTGGCGGTTCAAATCCCTGCGATAGGGTCAGCTCCCGTTGCTCAGTCCCAGCTCCTGCCAACCTAGCCATTCAAAAGCACGTC